CGACAGACATACTACAATTTTGAACTTATGATTTTAAATGTTAGGAACGACGATTAAAGACATTGTTTACACTGTATTCAAATATTAATTAAAATATTATATACATTCATATAAAATAGTGTTAACTGTTTAAAACAAAAAATATGTTACAAGAATTTGTTTTCCGTTATATTAACTACCTAAGCTTTTGAATGGTTTGCAGCAGCTTATATTTCACGTTTTAAACCGCGTTTTATTTAAATTAGTACGTCAGGTCACATTTAACCAAAAAACTCGCGTTTTAAACCGTTTTATTTATATATTACTTTAGACTTAAATAAACGGCTTTCCATGTCCTACTTAGACAGACCGACACGGTAAAGCATTCTAAGGGAAAACGAAGTATGATGAAGAACCCTTAAAAGCCCTGCAGCATACGAAATTGTAGGTAACTGGGTGAGATAGGATCTCTCGTAGCGGCGCCTCGATGTTATGATAAATGTTTTGTGTATGGAAATAAACCAGAAGCTGATAAATATTTGCATAAATTATACTCACAGATTTTAATCTCGACGGCATGAATTCTATGGATTTATTCATATCTACGCGGAGGTTCAAGTAGTTTAACATAAAAAGAATTCGCGTTGTAAATGCTCTTTTACAAACAGAAATAGTACAGTTACGTATTAATATTTAAATTTTAAGATTGTACGATATAATAATACTATTGTACTGTGAATATGTAATTTTAGCACTGTAACAAAAAAAATACATTTTCAAAATAAAAACAGAAGCTGTCTTCCGGTGAATATGGCTTCTGTAAAACATTCAAAAGATCAGCTTGTAGTTAAACATATGTTTACTGATATCTTTCACGTTTAAAACCGTTGCGGGTTCATTTAATAACAACCTATTTCAGTATACAAATTCGGACTTAAACAAAACTTAATTGATTTATTGGTACAAATAAAGATAAATTTAAGATTTGACTGTAATTTACGCCAGGGATACGCAGCAAATAAAGCACTTTTAACCGTTTAATTTTAAACGGGTGCCGTGACGCTTCCAAAACTTGGAATCGTAATAATATATTTCGCGTTTTAAACTGCTATTATTATAATAACACACTTTCTACTACGCTAGTCTAATAGTAAACTAACTTTCGATAAAGGTAAAAATGTATCAATATTGTAAATAGCTTTAGCTACCAATAGCTGCAGGAATTTACATTGAAAATAGCGTAATTAATTTCGACCCGATAAAGCTATTTCTTGTTAACGCAGTATAATCTGTGCCAAATTATTTTCTTTGTCGTGCATTGCGGAATGCAGCTTGCTGCAAGAACTGCCTACATTGCAACGTGAATTCAAGGATCGGTTTAAAAAATCTGATATTAACAGCATAGATGCATTAATTTCATGCTTTTTGCAGCCTGTACAATGTGAGCTATACATACTAATATAATAAAATATATCGCATATCATCGACGCATATTACAACCACATTTTACAGCAAATGGTATTGTAATTTTATATTGTATAGTAAAGTTAATATTCATCGAAAATGTTGCATATTTATATTCAATTTTTGTCTCTCTTTTCAAAGAAAAAGTATAATTAGTGTTAAAAATCCAGTTACGATATAAGCTTTAGGCAACTTGTTGATCAGACTTCAAATAATTATTAGGTTACCCCGGGCTTCGGTCCTAGAACCTATCTTTACGCACATAAGACCTCAATACAGTTATTCCCTCTATACGCAACGACAATGTGTGCATAAGTACCTAACAATGAGAAATAGTTCCAGAAAATCAAAGCGCAATTTGCCTTCGAAATTCTTTGTCTTCAACCCTTCGCGAAGTTTCATTGGATAAGGTAAGTCTTTACAGAAAGACGGATCGAACTTCTACGATTTATTACCGAAAGCTTTTAACTCGAAGTATTTCAGTGGCATTTCTTACATCCCCTTAAAGATTCGATTCAAATTCTATATTTTACAGAAACACAACTAAATCTCAAGAGATGAGGAAATATTACAATATTTAAAATGTATTTACAAACAGGCTATGTCAGCGACTTCGTCCGCGTAGAATTATTTTTTTAGAGCATCCAAATTTGTTCTTGCAAACCTCCTCTTTATAAACTTAAGGGGTGGAACGACACGTCCTTGGCGTACCGTCTTCTTGCAAGTTTTTAGGTAAAAAGATAGACTATAGCTTCGGGGACTCTTTAAATCTATAGGTTGAAACCTTTTTGTAGTATACGCGTCGGTACCCCATTTTATTTTTTTTTTTTTCCCTTTTTTTTTTTTTTTTTCCCCCCCCCCCCCCTTTTTGTTTTTGTCTTACTACAGCGCGATATTTTGACCCCTAAAGCCTTCCTTAATAAATGCTCTTACCAACAAAAAAATCCATTCGAATCAAAGTTCCTGTGATTACCGCGTTCAAACAAACTCTTCAGCTTTATATATCAATATAAATAAAACAAAATAGTTAAATTGTATAACATTTTTATAATTAGAAAGACACTTAACGCTACCGTTTTATCGTTACCTTGACAGGATAATAAATGTCCGTGAAACTGAATTATTCATTTGATAATTACACCACAAATAAATAACCATAAATAACAAGAATTGGCACAACTCTACACACAATAGTCGTTTTTTGCGTATATCAGGCGTACATTCTTGCGATTGCAAATTATCTTGCTGACCTTACTTCTATCCTGTAAAATCACGAAACAAATTGTTGACAGTTTGAATAACTAATGCAGGGCAAAGTATATGAAAGCTGCAACATTTCATATATTTGTCCTAATTTGGGAAAAACAAATCTATTATGGTAAACGGTATTTGATCACTGTGTAAAATAAAATGTCAACTAACAATAAAGAATTTGACCAGTCCATTCCTGTAAACACAGCATTCTGTTAAGTAGGAGGGAGGGAACCTAGTTAACGAATCCGTGAAGGGAAACAATATAGTGTTTCAGCAGGGCACAGAAGTGGGATCGATTGCTTGTAAAACCGATCGATTAGTGAAACCTGAATGTATTCGCCCCATCGCCTTCAAAGGAAGACCGAATTTCACTATTTTACTATATAGGATCATAGAAGAATAACATGACAGTTAGCTGTACGTCTGACTTGGATGATTGGTTAAATTTTATTAAGTTCTTTTTGTTTCTTTATCTGGTGTCGGTTCTATACCTTACTACGTCTGCTGATTTACGGTTAGCTGTCCAAAATATAATAACAGTTGAAACAGCCATCAATACTAACAAATTTAATTAAAAAATCTATATGATGCCAACATAAGTAGGACTCAAGAGAAAAGAGAATAAAAGAAGGTTATGTTTAAAAAAGCTATGTTTATTTCGAATTTTAAAATGAAACAACTGGCTCTGAAAATATTTGGGGTTGCAAACAAAAATCTCGTTAAATTTATATAATCGATTACACTGTTACTCCTACGATATACTAAGCTTATGCTAACACCAATTCAATATACATAAATATCACAGTCAAAAATTTTATACAACTAAAATACTACGTCTAATAAAAATGGCAGTGATTACAATTTTATGGAAACAACCTGGATACCTTATGTATTTCTACTTGAATATTAGTAACTAGCGCTAGTTGCTAATGATTTATTTCTACCAAAAATTAGATGTCGTGATCCTCAGTAGTTTGTTTTCGCTTATACTTTGATTTATTTTTTTCTACTTTGCAAAAGCTCTTATAAATTTTAATTCTTAGATAATTATTTTCCTTTATTTAAAAGTGTGAAGTATACATGATTATTATATTTAGATAGTTATGAAAGTTACACCAATGACACACATTAAATAAAACATTTAAATGGTTTAAAACGCAATATTTTGGTGACGACCATATTTGCTCTAAAGTAGTTTAAAAAATGAAAATGTTCTAGTTTTAAACCGTTAAATGTGTTTTATTTCAAAAGTGTTATTTCTTTGCATAATTAAAACCAAAACTCCAAAGCAACTGCAAAAAGCAAAAAATTATAGATAATAATACTTCGTCATAATATTTCACACTCTGGAAACATACAAAATGCTTGGAAACATAAAAGAGTTCACAATTTTTCGAATGCATATTTGTCTTCCTTTCGGGTCGACGTAGAGGCGTTCCATAAATGTCAAGCTGAAATCAGGTCACCTAAAAATGTTCTAGAGCAACTAGCGCTAGTTACTATGTGTATCTTAAAATACGTGTTAATGAAGAGACTACGAGTACATGTAGCTATTTTATACAGGATGACTAGAGTTAGATAATTACGATACATATGAAGTCTACAAGCTTTCCACTACTGTTGGTTTATATAATAAGCCGTCCTTAATAATTGTCATTAGATTATGAAATAAATTTTAAAGCAACACTTTGCAACTCTTTTAGAAGATCCATTGTGATAGATCTTTTATATATCACAAAGTATTAACTAAACATACAAACAAAAGAAATTTTTGGAACCGAAACATGTAAAAAGGACAACCTACATACATATACAATATTATCAACTCTATTGAAGAATTATATGAGTACACAATGATATATTATTGTTATATATTTACGGAAATACAATGCTTATTATCGAACCAAATGTAATTGCAATAATCTAAGCTGCATCTAATGATGATCATAATTTATCTAACACGTTTAATATAATATAATAAGTTATATATATTCTTATTTATTGTTGACTATATATATTGTAGACTATAGGTAAATAAGTAGAACCGGGTTATATTGAAGTAATGATATATGTAAAAATATTAACAGATAAGATTTGTTATATTGCATAATGAGAGAACCAAATATGAATTCAACATAAACGATAACTATTTACAAATATACAAAAATATATAACATCGCTAATCATCTACTTAATACAAGGAAAAGTTCAAGTCTAAAATTCAATACTACAACATCTATACAAGGTAGATTCAAAATGATATATGTTATTATTGCTTCGTTTCTACATAGGCTAAGATATAACTATTTTAGATGACTTTTATTCTCTGGACTCTGTAAACAAAAATGACAATGTATAAATCGGGTAGATAAGAAGGGTAGTTTCAATTTATGACAAGTTACGATGTATAAATATAAAACAAATTGAATTGGTAAAATTGTTTTTTCCAATATGGCAACAATTCAGTTACAGATTAACGATGCAACAGAGACATCACAACAAAAATCATATTCAAGTTGAATTTACCTCGTACGGGGGCGGCGGCAATATATCACACAGATTTATTTGACAGCCCTGTTCGGAGCGGCCGGTTGAGTGTCTCTGTATGGGAATTTTGAAACTATTCTCCCGTCCCAGCCAGTGCCACTGCGGGTAATCGTATTCTAAATCATTCGGACACACTTTGCTTTTGTCCTGGCGGCTTCGCGATCCCGATCGGTTCGTGGCTGCGTCGTCTTCCTCGGGCTTGAATTCTTTATATTCCCTAAAGTCTCTGTAGTTAGTGGACCTGCTGGAGGAACTGTGGCAGGTTGAGCATTCGTTTGAGTACTGAATACTGCCGTTGCAAGAGCGCACGATGCTGTTATTGTGCGACCGTCTTTCTGGACAGTTAGCTTCACCGCTGTCATTGCCATCCTACGAGACAAATACTTTGCTGATTGAAGAAATCATTAAGCGAATTATTAGGAACTTATTATTATTAGGTATGCAGTATAAGTCCGTAAATCAAGGAGCAAAGGTATCAAATTTGTTTGTACAGCTCTTGATATGAGTGGAATTATTATATCCAAAATACAGATTATTATTACTCCGTTCTGTGTGAAAATCTAAGTTTAAAATACGATGCGAAAGAGGCTTATCTAGAATCAACACGGGTATTCTCAGGCTTATCTCGTACAAACCTTGAAATTGAGTTCAGTGTAAATAGCACTCGAAGCGTACGGCTCCGGGCGTTTCATTCTGTCTACACTCGATGCATCTAGGCCTTGAATAGAATTCTGAGGCAGACAATATTCTGGTTCTACGTTCAGTATGCTTGATTGACCGGCTGTGAACAAATTATATATATTTAATTGTTCATCTACTTAGGTTTAATCTTCAATCAATCATAACTTCTTCACTAATATTATAAAGCTGAAGAGTTTTAATGAATCTCAGAAGCTACTGCTTCGAATTGGAAAACTATTTTTGTGTTGGATAGCGAGCATATTATAACGAGGAAATCTTTAGGCTATAAAACAACACGCTGCTACAAATAGGAGCGAAAAAACTGTGGGAAATGTGCAAAATAAGAGAAAATATTATTGGGTAGCGTGCGCTGTTCAAGTAACATCGAAAGGGAATGATTCCTCTTTAAATGATCTAAAAAACATTCGAGACAGTCTGTATATGTCTATCTCAGCTATAATTTATTAAGAAGGAACGCGGTTTGAAAAAATTAAAATTTTGATGCCCAATATAACTATTCATACAGACATACGAAACATACGTGGATGAAGTCGCGTATAATTCGTATGTTGTATCTCGTATAATTTACACACTGAGATCGTAAGCAAGCAAAAAACTATACCTCTTACCAACCATAGTAAAAAGCTAAGCGTTCTACAAAACTATTTTCCAACTAATACTTTCCACAGCCTCAATTAATAGCTTCAATTAACTCGGACAAATGGGATCATTTATCTTATGTTTATTCATAAATTTATATCGATACAATTACTCGCCAGTGTTTAATATTTTTTTATCGTCGATTAATAGAACACATTTACTTTATGACAAGCTTTCATTACAAGAATTTTAATCAGCAAGAAGAATTCTTATTTATCACACTGCATTATACGCTAGTACTATTATGGTTGTATTTTAAAATGGAGTTAGTAAAAACGTAAAATCATATTATAAATAAATATATAAAGTTACTTAATATTTAATCGCGTATTGAATTTGCTAACTTCAAACGGGTAGTGCTTAAAGAACCACGTTTTAACATTGTAAAGATGTAGTAGTCCATTAAATAAAGCACTTTTAACGGTTTAAAACGCGATATATTTTTTGCAATTTCACAACATTGAAATAATATATTTGGTGTTTTAAGTCGTTAACAGTGTTTTATTTAAATGCTAATGTGTAAATCAATCTTGTAAACTAACAGATTTAATTTCGTACTATTTTTTTGTTTCATTGTGATTATTAATGGTCCCAATCCAAGAACTGTTAAGTCAACCCACATAACTCTACGTTGTACTTAAAACGTCGTTTGAATAGACGAAACAAAACACTCTCCATGAATATAACGAAGCTGTTATTAGGGGACACATGTATACTTACACTGCAGCAAGCTTTGATGACAGCTGTTGACGTCTAGCGAGGGGTCAGGAGGAGCGAATACCGGCCGATCTCGGAGCCAGATCGTATCCTTATTCAATAAGCACTGCGCTGTAACGATCGGTTGACCTGCGTATCGATCACAGTATTATATCATTGGCGTTTGTCAAGGGCGTAACTTCGGCCCTATTTATTGTAAAGCTAGTTGAAATCAATATCACAGTTTACGTTGACGTAACAATTTGAATGGCTAATAAAATGTGTCAGAACGAAGACTAGAAACTCAGTGATATATGTACATTCTATATTAAAACACTAGCCAAGAATTGGACAACATTTTGCGAGAAAACAATTTGTTCCGGTGTCGTCCATTGTTTAGGATGTTTAACAACCTTGTCTCATTAAATGAAACATTTTAACGGTTTATAACCCGAAATGTATTTAGTTAAAATTATTTACACTAAAGCCATGAAAATAATGCGAAAGGTAGGGCCGTAGTTAAAATAACTTGTATATAAGTTTAACCAATACATTTCGCTTTTTAAAGCGCTAAATAAAACACTTAACTTTGTCTTAGAAATAATGTTACTTAATATATATACTAATGGCTAAAGGTTATACCAAGATGATTCAAAAGGCAAACAGTTGGGCTTGATCTACCCTGATACTTAATAAAGACGACGCGATAATTATAAAGCTTTTTTTATAATTGTACTGGAGGACAGACAAGTATGATGTTCACTCGATTTTAGGTGAAATAGCCCAACCTTTAACATCTAAACAAGATGCGCTATCGACCTATTCTGGCTTTGGATATTCGGAAATCCACAAACTGAAACCGAAACGTGATTAAACTTCACGGGTTTTTCATCTGTGGATTTTGGTTCGTGATCTGGAATATCGATATTCCTACCACCTATATAATGTTCAAATTTCCAGACAAAGTCCAACCGAAAAAATGTTGGTCCCCGGTGGAGAACGAACCCACGACCCAGTTGTTTATTAGCCGTCCATTGTTTCAATTACACCAAAGAGCCCGTTAAAAGACTGCAGAGTTAATAATATTGTGTTATTGGATCATAGCTTTATTAAGCTGTACTGTGCATTCACTCGTCTGACCTAGGGAGCAATGACTCTATTAGTCTATTACGTCAAGTGCCGACAACTATCTATAAGGATGATACAGCAGTTGAAGTTCAAAGTTCAGCGTTCATTCCTTTTCGAAGATCATTGTTAACTCCTTTGTTTATTGAATGAGTGTTACAGTTTGTACCGTTCAATGGGTCAAATCTTAATTATGTTGATAGTATCTTATTCATTGGCTGAAGTCTGACAAAATACAAACAAAGCGTTATCTTTGACAGTGAATAATTGTTAATCTGTGACAGGGTATAATTGGGTCACATCGACTGTAACCGTTCTTTATATAACACAATAACTTATAAAACTATCTGAACTTAATATCAAATGAAAAAATTTACTAGATTATGGTACTCGTTGGTACTATGATGATTACACACAAAACACAATAATTATCTCACTTCTAATTTAAACACACTTTAGTTTTCGAAGAGATATAACTTTTAATTAAAACACAATAATTAAACAACTTAATTATAACGTTTCGGATACAAAGAATTTCAAAGTGAATGTTTAATAAAAATACTTACCGGTAGCTTTTTTCCTCTGAATGCCATTTCGCCGTCGTATGTAGTAAATGCTGACAATGCCGATAACAATCACAGAGAATAATGTCAGACCAAGCGCCAACAACCACGTTTCATGAAATATGTGGGGAATCGAAGAATCGTGAGGTGGTTCTGTCCTACAAACAATTATTTAAATAAATACTTCGATATGCATGTACTTTATTAATTATAACACCACAGGAATGGTTAACATTAATAAAAACGTATAAAAGGTAGCCTTAGCTCTAAACAGCGATCTCTTCCAGGCTACCGAAGGTGAAGGGAAAAGAATAGATCAAAGGTTCTAGAGAAGAATGTGGAAAAGAAATAAGATTGAGAAATAAAATTTATAAACTGAGATTTTCTGGTATCAATATGTATTACAATTATATGTATAAGAAAGCATGTGTTTCGATGGAACCATCTTATTTTATTAATTTCTTAAATTACTTTTAAGAAGGCCATATAAATTAGAAATACATAATTAGGAATATAAGTCGAAGAAGACAAGATCGTCATTGGAATGCGGTAAGTCATTAGTCCAATTGATAAGTGGTCAGACAAATACTTACTGCACATAATGCCTCTGCGACTGTGTCGGTAGCATGTGTATTTGCGCGGGCGTACTAAAAGGTCCGTGGCCCCGTTTAGTGACAGCGGCTGCACGGGCGCTATACCTTCCTCCCGTTCGTAAGGAGCTGGCGGCAGCTGCCCGTGTCCTAGCCCCGAGCGACATTTGACCTACCACCCGGCCATTGGTACCGCCTCCAACGCGGATTTCGATCTAAAAGAATACCAATATTAAATACATATTATAAGAAACCAACTATTAAAAGTTTACGCAAGTAGTACACATTTAAATAAAACACTGTAGCGGTTTAAAACTCGATATATATTAACTAAACGTATTTCAACTATGGCTCGACGTTCGGATGCATTGCAGCAGCCGTGGTCACAGGAAGACTAAAGATGGAGGGTGTCTTTGAAGTCTAAGTCAAAACTGCCAGTTAGCTTATTTCAAATAAGTTAAACTAATACATATCGCGTTTTAAACCGTTAAAGTGTTTTATTTAAATTTGGTACTACTTGCTCGTTAAAAATTTAAAAGACGCAATTAATAATATTGCTTTTTTTATTCTAACATCTGCATTTGTATAGCTTACTCTAAAGACCTAAGTACTAAAATCAAACTTAATTACAATCCAAACACAAGGATGTTAAACGAATAAAGTATCAAAGGGTTTTCTATCTTATGAGATGTTGAAAAAATATTGCGTGTGTCCGATAAAATAAAAAATAACATCAAATGATCATAAATAACTCGCCTATCGATAGAAATGGGTCGACTCAGATACAAGTTCATGGCGCAAGCGCATTTTATTGCTATTGGGATACAGAGCGGATGGATTTGATTATTATAACAGTGTTAGTTAGATGGTACTTTAATCAAGATATATTTCATTTTACACTTCTCAGACCGTAAGACATTACAGTGTATTCAAAGTTAAACCGCCGAAAGATAATAGAACATAATACAAACTTATTAATAATTTAAGTGTGGCTTTCTTTACTAACTAGAATGAAGAATGACAAAGTTAAAAGCGAGTAAATAAAAAGTAACCTTCTGAAAGCATAAATAATTGCAAATTTCTAAACAGCAGTGTTAAAAATAACTATTTCAAAGTTTACCAAGTCATGATAAAGAGCAATTAACGTTTTGCATAGTCATAAATTAAAGTAATTATAGCCTCAACTAAGGAAAAAATGCTCACCAAATAACCCGTCAGTTCTCCATTCCACGTGTCTGCAGGTGGGGGTTCCCATCGTATCCACGCCGACGTGGCGTTTATTACCCCCGCCGTAACACTAAGGGGTGGGAGCGATGGCACTAAAACAATTATTTACGGTCATTAATTACTTAAAACCATTAATGGTTTAACCCCCAATTTATCAATTTTAGCTTCATTAACGAATTGGTTATCTATTTTGTTGTTTTAAATAATATAAAGATGATATTTTTTGAATGAGTGAAAAAGGGAAATTACTAAAATCTGCTTTACCTTTCAGTAAAGAGTTCCTAAGGAGATACTTAGGTTTTGGGGATTTCAGTTACATCATTTTAAAGTAAAACTAGTATATTACAACTATAAAGAACTAAGCCCCATAATATACATATACGGATTATATGTATAGTTATAAGATATAATAATACATAATCTCTAGCTTACCATCTTCGTCAGTGAAACCAGTCATAGAATTCGATGGTTTCCCGAGTAACATTTTATAAAATGGCATCAAGAACACATCATACTGCATATACGGTTTCAATCCAGACAAAATATAAGACGAGGAGCCACTATTATCGACATGTATGAGTGACCCATTTGAACATGAATCCACTTGAGGCACTACAACATCTTCAGTACTATTCCGCCAGTTCAAAGTCGTCCCATTGAACCAAATCTTCACCCCTTCCAAATACTCATTATAATCCGTTAACACCTAAAACAAAATACAAGTTTAAGCCTCTCAACTTTATTGCGTTACTTGAACCGAGACAACGTAAACACTCACATCCCACACGACTTTCAACGAAGTCGACGACAAAGTTTCCACCCTCTTCAGTACTAAAACATTCTGCTGCAAGTACTTCCTCGCCTGAATGAACTCATAATCTGTCATGCGGATCTGTTGTTCGTAACTCAGGCCGAACTCATCACCTGAAGAATGCTTTAATGCGTTGCCTTTTCTTAAAACGTTCAGATATGCCTCTTGCATAACACTACCGGCCGCATTTACCGCCACGCAAATAACCCTCCCACTGTGCTCCACAGTCACTCCATCTAAATACAATAAACTGGAATTGCTCTTGGTGCATTCCGGGAACAATAGATTATCCTCGATTCCCTCTAAAATCCAAAACGTTGTAGGTGTCGGTAGGCCTTTCGCTTCGCACGGAATGGAGACCACGTCTCCCTCCCAAGCGGTTAAATTGGATGGTATCTGTGTGAAGTGCGGTAAGGCTGAAACAGATGGCCGTATTAAAATAGCTCTTAAAGATATTCGATATACAGCTATAAAAGTTTCAGAATAACATTGATGCTTACAATAAACAGTTAAAGTGGCACTGGTGATGCTGGTGCCAGTATGGCTATCGGCACGGCAAGAATAGACACCCGCGTCGGATGCGGACACCTGTTCCAACCGTAATAGTCCCCGGATTATAGTCGCGTGAGACGGCAAAACCTCATCTTCTTTAGCCCATGTTATTTTAACGCTATTATCGTAGCTCTGGAACAACATTATAAGTATCACGATCGAATAAGATAAACACTTTGCTGGTATAATACGAAAGCTTTTAATGAAACCAGTATTAGCTATACATTTTGTGTGCCGATGCTTAAATATTTTATTATTTATAAGATTGAATAATTTAAAATTTGCATTGTTACGTTACGATAATCATTTCTAAATCATAGGAGTAAATATTTTTTTTGCTCCTTACAAAATACTCTTTCAACGGATTATAATTATATTTTTAATTAACAAATGCAATAAGCGAAATCGAATCTCCAATATGTACATCCAATTTGTAATATCATAATGAGAATGGATTAACATAATTAATTCTATTAGCGTAAGCCGAAACCAATATGATCGGACTAATTTAGATTGTGGTTTCACACGTGGTTAATGATAATTATATGATATATTACCTGACAGTTAAATTCAACATTTTGTCCCACAAGCGCTGTTATGTTGCTGGGTTTTGTAACAAAGTGTGGTCGTCTTAATACAATTAGCGCAGCCGCTCTCGACTGCCTTTCTCCTGCTATGTTTGAAGCTATGCAACGAAACACTCCACTGTCATTTGGTAGTGTCTCGAGTATTTTGAGGCTGCCTGTTTCTGTGATCGTAATCCTAAAAGACGATCCTTAATTTTACACTATACTCCACGCTACATATTAAACGCCACATATATCGATTATGCCAAGGGTATTAGTCGTCAAACTAATGCTCTTAATAAAAATAAAAGAAAACGGACGAAATGAACATAAACTATCTCATACCTGCCATTCACTTCAACTTCAAACGGTTGTCCATCCTTTAACCAATGTACAGATGCTTCAGGCACACCTCTTGGTGGTACACATTCTAACATAGCTGGCTCACCAGCTGCCACCTGAACATCTCGTGGTTCGGCTCTGAATTCGTCTCGTAATACTACAAGAAACCAACTTTCATTACCACCTTTTAGAACCTTTTAGAAGGTAGATAATTTCATTTTTGTAGTTGAAGATAGATAATTACCAGCAACATTTAAAGATGCATTTTGACTTACTGCTTCCCCAGCTATATTTCTAGCAACACACCAATAGACTCCTTCGTCGCTTTCCTTTTTTCCACGATTAACCCTTCAAAGAAAATGTCCATAAGCTCTTAGTTTCACATCCATCTAACTATTTAAAAGTACCTTGTCTTTCACATACCTAAGAAATAACAAACCATCTTCTAACAATACCCTGTGCCCGTCTTCAGCCGGGGGCAAGGGTGACCCATCTTTGAACCACTGCACGTTTGGTTTGGGTCTTCCTTCCACCACGCATCTTAAGGTCGCAGGCTCGCTGCGACCGGATACTGTGTTCGATGGATGCTCTTTGATACGCGGTGCTCGATTCTGTGCTACGAACATTAAAAACAAAAGTTAAACAAGTTAAAAATAAAAACCATTTCAGATTTAAAAATATCTACGATACTTGTCCCTGCACTATCTCAATAAGTCAGTGCAACACACGGGAGTAAGGATACCGAATCCGTCTTAATTTAGACAAATATTAGGTTTTTAAAGTTGAACAAGTTAGATAGAGGCTTAACAAAAAGTGGATTATTAATTCTTTCCTGTACATTTGTAAAATATGAATAACTTTTAGGAACGCTGTTAGCTCGATTATGTGCATACCTACTTACATGTCTATTTAATTAAATTTTCTATCTTTGATGTGGAAGAATAAATGGCGATATTACAAATATTTTTGTTAATGTAGCGAGTATCGTAATGAAACTGCAAATTTTAAAGATGAGTCTGTTTACAACCAAGTTATTACAATAGGAAAATGTTATACCAATTATGCGTCGAAATATGTCTCGATAACTAAATCTATAGACTACATATCCGATCGTAATTCGTATTAGATCCTTATGTGTAAATATCTATACTTGGGTACATGTAACAGACGTATAATTGTTTCACGGGGTTTTCCAAATCTAAAGAACTGCTTATTTTTCAACTGTGGGATTTGAACCTTTTATATTCAGTCGCGGTCAACGAGTTCTAAAGATCACAAAACAATACATTCAACCATTTTAATAGTCTCTGACGGAACTTTTTGTATTGTGTGCCGAATGCTTTTAAGATAGAAATAGATAACATGACACGTGTATTATAATAATTTGTATTAATTGCTTGCTTTGATAATATTAAAATCAATTTAAGGCCATCAAAAATTATTAAAGACTTTAATATTTATAATGACATATTTAAATAGTAGATTATTAAATAAAATATTTGACAATAAAAGGAACCGGATAAAGTGTTTTATTTTTTTTAATTTACGAATATTTTTTTTTACATAGAGTAAAATTAAGTTTAAATGCGTTAGTCATTTAAATCTAGATATTGTTAGTTAATTTTAAGTTGTTCATATTTTTTGTTCTTTAATTTCACAAATAAGTAATATAATTATATATTCTCTATTTAAAATAGTCCCAATTTTTTAGTTTTACTAAAGTCATAGCCTAGCATATAAAAAGAACAACATTCGACTCTCATAAATGTCAAGTTGCATGAACAATTAAAATGTTTTCAAAATAATATTTATAAAGGAGATAGCCGGCTTCATGTCCTTCATTTTTATCCCAACCCCCGGTCGGTAGTTGTCCTTTATATTAATACTTGTCACTGTCAAGATAACCCCGCACAATACACATTATCTTGACGTGTGTCTTTTTGTCCATATTGTCTGAGCGGGGGCAACGCTCGATGTAAATAATTGATTTTGTGGCTTACAACTTTTTTCACGATTAATGGACCTTGATTGGTTTTTGATATGAGTTTTTGTTCGTATATTGCGCTTAAAAGCGATAATTGCGCAATATTTGATGTATTGAAGTTGATAATTGCAATACTATATATTATTAACGTACCTACTATAGTAATAACTGACAAGTTGTAATATATCGTATTCGAGGTGAATATATTATATGTTACATAGTGATTATACAATTAATACTCGTATAAGAAACTAGTTGACCTGGCAAACGTTCTTTTGCCATATTTCATTTCAACCAAAATTTGATCTTTAAAGATAGACATACTCTCATAGGCATTTACAAGATTTTTAAAGAAAAACAATTATTTATTCGTGATGCGCAAGTCGAGTGCTTGCACAAGTACTCCTCTTTTAATCTATTTTAAAAAGAAAAATATTTGAGTAGATTCGATTGAAAGATAGAAACACCTCACACACAAAAAAAATCCATACTTTCAAAATTTGAATAGCATAGGTAGTTGTTACATTGTTCAGCCCCGATATTGAGATACCCGGTCGTCCTTAAAACGAATTATCTCGAAAAAAGTAGTCCAGAATGCAAAAAGTAGCTATCTGTTGCTCGCCACCGGCGAACACTAATTAAACCGAGTTAAAAATAAAAAAGGCTCCATTGTTTCGTTAACACAACGCTCTTGCCGAACTACTTTTCGTTAATTGGACTCAAGCTACTTTTAATTATTCAATGAACTTACTCCGTGCCTCCCGAGGCGAAGGTGTTTATAATTGAATATTTTAAAAACGCTAACTATTCTATTATATGACTCAGTACGTTGATATAAAATGCTAGCTAGATAGAATAAATCCACTCTATCGTACTTAAAATACGAAACATAATAACGAAGTTAAGATATTTAAAATTCGAATTCAAAGATTATTTTTAACCAGTTCTAATTAGTAGTTAATACGACCGCTAATAACAACATTTAAATCAGGCAGGTATTATATTCAAATTATGATGGTACATTCCTACAATAAAAGTAGGGATATACATATATAAATATCTGAAACACTAACTAGGTACCTACTCTAACGATACTAAATATTCTAAAACTAATGGGGGCTTATGTATGTATGTCTGAAAAGGTCCTAAGGTCTTTTTCCTAAATAATTCCATAGGTGTTTATGCCTTACTTCTTTTATTTATTAAAATTCTTATTTTTACTACTTACTATATAATATGTTAAATGTACCCATTTTCAAAAGTATACGTGTAATCTTCTATTATGTCAATAAATAAAAAATATTTGTCTCGTAATGGGTAGGTACTTACCTAAAATATCATACATTTTTCATCGATACTAATATATAAAGCTGAAGCCTTTGTTTATTGCTTTAGAAAATGTCCACGACAGTGTATGTCTATATTTTAAAAAATAACTTGCAAGAACGATGGGACGCGGACGTCGAGGGTAAGCTTAAGTTTAAGAGTGGAACGGGAGGTTTGAAAAACAAATTTTAATGCCAAAAATGATTACGTGAAGTCGCTGACACAGTACCTACATTATAATAAGTAATAACTACATCGGTCGGTTAGGGCACCATAACCTTATCAACTACTTGCTAGTAACTAACTAACTTAACCAGACACAGAGACATGCTTGCCCCACATATAGCACTATATATAATAATTCAAACAGATGAAACTAGTACATTCGTGTAATACGATACAAGTATGTGACGACGACTAAAATCCTGTTTCTATTAGCCCTTTAGTACAAGTATTATATGACAGCATTAACATTTATGTAGAGCAAAGAATTTACAAAGCGTGGAGGGGTCATGACAATTCAAACGAAAGGGGAACATTTAGAATTTGGACAGTATTGATGGGCTGGTTAGTCCAGTAGTAAGCAGGAACGAGTAACGAGGTTTCAATTTGAAACTAGAGAAATATTATTTTAATATTTAACTATGTGTTGCTGCAGAGCATCCGAAGCGTCAGATCGTAGTTAAATTAAAGTTAAGTTATTCTATTATGAGTATATTTTGCGTTGTAAACCGGTAAGTGGTTTATTTAAACGAAATTATGATATTTCCTTTAGCAATTTAAATTTATATCTTTAACATTTTATAAAAAATAGACAAATGAATAGGTTACTTTTTCTAAGACTAACCTATCTTATGTTTTATTTTATATAAAATAAGAATGAATTTTCATTCATCTCAACAAAGGTCAAGTAAAATCACAATTTAAAAATATGTGGCATAATTACACTTATTATTCAGCCTGGTCAAGTTCAATTTGAAAATCTCTAGCACAAATAAATCTCTTAATAAAGAAATTATATTATCGTGATATCAGTACTGAATAATTAATTTATTCACAGGGTTACTACATTTCTGTGCCGTACATTACACGCGAGTGTCTATACCTAGCTACTTTAACAGACTAGTTCAGACTCTGTTCTCCTGATCTGCCTGATCGAAACAATTGCAATGTCTCCCCAGGATCTTCAAGACGATAGAGTTAAAATACCTACATATTATACCTACCTAGGTAATTTCCTTTCAATAGATTTGACCATTAAGAGAAGGACACGGTTATATACCTAGATTGTTCGTGTGTAGGTATTTAATTGTATGTGAATTACTATTTAGCTATTGCGGCCTTTACATGTACGTACTTAAAAACATTATATTCTAGGTACTCAATAAAACCTACGATGTAAAACGCGAAATGAAGAAGTGATTTCGAATACCGAGGTAGGTACCTGGGCCAAAATACTTTTAACTGCCTAATCCGAGAACACAATTCAGATTTTTTTTCAAAATTGAAATACTTAATTTCCTTTTTTTTAAATGCTGAAATAGATATGTTATAGTTCTATTTATAACACACCTACCTCAGCAGCGATGGTTTAAGTGATTTAATAATATTTATAGCATATAATACATCAAGTTGTCGAGAAATTAAACAACTGCGTAACTATTTTACAGATGAGGTTATTATCTAATAAATCGGACATTGTGACTTAATAATACGTCAGTTTTAAACTGTAGTGATTATATAAATCACCTATAAAGCAAAATCACAGAAATAATCAGTTTCATCGAATATTCATGTTTAATTAGATACACTGCGTTACCTATGTTAAATATTAAAACTTAAACTTTTCCATAAATTACAAAAATAAACTTAAAATTAATTCCAATTGACAACATAGTATTGTTCTTGTCATAAATAGTACGTACGTATAAATTTAAGACATTTTTGACAATAAGAGTCCTTTGTATAATTAAAGATACAATAAAAACAAGAGGGACACAAAAGTAACGCAGTATTAATCTTCGTAACACAGTAGTATTTTTTATATACTATACTTTGTAGTTTTAATAGAGATCTTTATAACAAAACAATTTTAACTGTTCATGACTCGACATAAAATTAAGTACCTCAAGTAACATAAAACGTTTGCCTACGTCAATATTTGTTAAGAATTAATATACCTTAATGAGAAAATCAACTGTATAAACTAACGAGGCACTATATCTTCAGTCTCTCTTCAGAAATTTTTTGGCTTGTCATAATTGAAGTATAATCTTTTACCTTTCACGACAACTTTGGGGTTAGGGACAATTTCTACAATGTTTTCGTATGGTTCGTGAGATATATCGGTATCTACTGCTTTGAATCTTTTGCCAGTGTCGTCAATTGTCTTGTAAAACATAATTTTAACGTCCCCTTCTTCATCAACTTTACTTTTAACAACACCAAGGTAAGTATATTATTTTTCCTTAACATAAGTAACTTTTACTAAAACATGGACACCTTCATATATCTTCGTAGGATGAACATTTTCCTTTTCAATTTGCTGTATTTCACGTGCGTGTTCGTGTACGTTAGATGTTGACACTTAGCACAAGCTTCATAAGGGCTTCTCGTCAGAGCTAGAAGACGAATAATAAATCTTGTAATACGTACCTTAAAGGTACGGCAACAATATTAGTAATGTCATCAAGGACTATATCATTATCCGATTCATCAAATGGAACGTCTTCTTTACGTGTGTCAATGATGGGATATGTTTGTATGCAGGCTTATATGTTTTTAGATTCATGCACTAACAAAAGCCCCTCTTGCAAAAACAACTAAGGTCTCTTTAGCGAAGTTCACCCAACGTGTGAGTAAAAACCTGATGTATTGCATCGTACCCTGAAGTGGCACTAGACTTTCAGGTAGTGTTTTTTCAATGTTATGAATATCACTGTCAGTCAGTGTCACCAAGTAAAAACGGACCTTGCTCAAGTCTTTTAGGGTGTCAAAAAATTCATCTGCATTAGAAATATTTGAACTAACAGCAACTTTTTTATCTGCAGTGCGTTTGAGATAGCCGCCAACACCATCAGCAGCCCCTTTGCCGTGCCCAGCTTCAAAAATTCCATGTAACGCGTATGATGTTTGTTGTATGCTGCTGCGCGTATGATGTATAATGATGTTTTACTCAGTGAATATTCGGTGACTAATGAAATAAATGTTGCTTCTTTCGATACTGAGTAGCTGGTCCATCGGAGAAAAAATGAATTGTAGTTATGTTAGGATTGTTATGTTGTATGTCACTAATTATTGGGTGTAAGCGTGCCCAGATAGAGGCTGGATTATTAGAATTATTTGCAGATATGGTACGAAATTCTCATAATCCAGCTTCAGCATTTTTTACCGGGCCTTGTTTCAATTTTTATCTATAGCGACGTTGTTTTTCTGCGTTTGTCAGCGCCATTTAGGACAGAAACTTTTTTCTGAGAAAAAAAGATACAATTTTCCTATAGCTATATCGGATTTAATAACGTATACTGTTTATAAGTAACAAAAATACAACTACGTTACCTATCTAACTACTGCGTTACTTTTTTTTGTAACGCAGTGTAGCAGTTACGCAGTTGTAAATATTTGACTAAATTGTAAATAATTTCCAAATCAAATAATAAAATCCAGATATTTTTACACTCACGGTTGCAATACATACCTAAATGCGTAATAAAACAATAATAACGTGAAATATCGTCAGGACGTAACATTAACAGCGGTAACTCAGCAGACAGACAATAGATACACGCACCTCCTTCACGGAGCGGGACGCGACCAGCACGGCGAGAGTACTGCCCCCGCGCTGTTACTGTCGTTTGTTAAACGAGTTACTACAAATCGAACCAAATAATGTGCAAGTAACCTTAATCCAATCATTTTAAAGTCTTTTTTCATACAGTAACGCAAGGTAGCTACGATATTGTTACTCGTTGGGGACACAGATACATTAATTTTTTATTTTATTAAATGTTCAATTTAAAACGTTTCTAATGCCATTCTAATAACGTCCAAACCTTGCATTTTTATTATACCATCTATAATTAACCGCCACCTAGGAAATATTTTGAGAAATTGTTCCGTATAGTTTGGCACACATGCTCAGGGACATAGATATTTAGTATGAAAAACGGCTGCGTTACTAAAAATGGCAACTTTGTTACTGTAAATTTTCAATTAATAACAATTATTTCAGTTCAAATCATGTGTTTTGTATTAGATAATAATGTTAAATTTTAAAATGATTATACTATTGTCACAATTTTGTATCGGATTCGCATTAAATGTAATGTTAATTCCAGGGACAGGTTTTTAGGCATCAAAAAGTATTTTGGCCCACCTACTTATCGAACCGATTAAACCACGACCCGAAGTTAAATTTAAATTAACACATACCGTATGTATAACGCGTAGGTATAATCCACAGACAATACAATTTAAAAAATATCGACATATTGATACAAACAAAATTGACCAAGCTGCTTATCTAGCTAGACAGACTATCCATTGCTCTCTTATCTACCACAGCCAGAAGGATAATTACTTGACAATGAATCATATACGTTTGGAAACTTTAATTTTTTCACATCTTACACATGAAGGCACTAAATTTTTGCCTCGGCAGGCTTGAACCTTTAAGCTCTACAGCAACAGCACGGAAAGCCGACGATGCCGGATCAAGTCCTGCCCGAGTCAAATTTTTTATGTTTTTAACATCGGCTCGACGTTTCGGATGCTTTACAGTAGCTAAGTTTTATTTTTTAAAATCTACGAAAATTTCGGTCTGTATTTTACGAACATGCATATCTATTTACCTAATTACCTACATCGAAAAACTTTAAGATATTTACCATTAGTTCCATCCAATCCGATGAGCAACAAATGCACGAAAACAAGATAAACAAATTGACTCTTTCCACTTAAAACATTATCACATTCATTCCCACCGTAATCCACCATACTGCCACCAAAATACACAATTCACACCATCGAAATTCTATTTACATTTTGTACACGAACACGTTTTTAAACGAAATAGTCTAAGCTACGTTAAAAAACCATTGTCGCTTGCTGACAAACTTTTTCCCGCGTAAACATAGCGTTCATAACCGCCCGCGACACGACCAATCCGCTTCGTGTCGTACCTCGTACTATCGCCTCCCTCCCACAGCCCACATCTCTGTTTACTCAAATGGGGGGAATCGAAGGCGCCGTATCGTTGATCTTACATGATATTACAACTGGCGTTTGACCTAATGTAAATAAACATACAGCCCTTGCGATGATACGGTGTTTTAATTGCTTAATTGTTGCGTGCTTTAGGGCGTTAATCCTCAACCCTCGTTTTATCTGTGGTAATATAGTTTCACGACAATTTAATTTAAAGAGATAGTGTCTTATCAAAACAAAACTATTAAAAAGTATAATAATTACAGCTTATATACAAAAGTACGAACTTAATTGCTTGCAGCTGCTTTGATTTTCATTTGTTTCTTAGCTAAAAAATGTAATCACCCGTTGTTTGTTCTTCAAAATGTTCCCTAGCCCTCGCTAGACATTTCAAAAGGCCATTCAAAAAAGGAAACGAAACAAAATACGGCTTATTTCATTGGATGTATTTGTCGAGTTAGCGCATGCGTACCGGGCGGGCGCCGACAAAGGCGGTGTGCTCAAATAAAAAAACGTTCTAATTTCAAACCGGTCGCCCCTCCCGCACGCGCTCCTGCGCATCCCTTCGTCCATTATTATGCTGAAGAGGTCATTCACAGTTCGCACAATAGCACCCATACAACTATGAACTGCTAATAGGTGAGGCCTGCACTAAACCCTCTTTTTTAGTGCACTCTATCTCAAGTGATGTTTTCTACTCAAACTTTTGTTAAAACAGAATGAGTTTTATACATAACTTCACAATTTATTAAATAAACATACGAGTACGTCAGAATAGAGGGCCATACTAAAGCGACACTGACGGCAAAGTATTTTTTTGGTCGTGGATTCGACTCCTGCCAGTATCGTCTTCTTTAAACTTTGTAATAGCTGTATTGTTCAATTTATAGTACAGAAATCAACTATTAAAAAAAAACTACAGTAGGTAGCTAACAAAAACCTTACTTAAAAAACCTACAAAGATTACGAAAGATACACTCAGCTGTTTTGCATTTAAATATAAATGAAACAGTACACAGACAACAGTAATTAATTAAGTTAGATAAACTGTATCTCCAGGTTAATGACTATACATACATGCCTAATTAAAATAACAAAACATATTTGAAATAATTATATATCTAGTGATATGAATAATCCTCCGATTTAGCGGGGACGACACAACACTAGTGCGACGCGATTACCGCGCGTGTCCCGACACTAGCTCAGGAACTGTCAAATACGAACGTTGGCGCGCATTCTGTCGGTTAAGCCTAATTTTGGATAATAAATTAATATTTAAGAGTTTAACATCGTTTTTCCGACCTAACAATATCAGAAGTGCGATAAGTGATCTTGCCCACGAGTGAACTTTGATGAATTGGACAATAATTTCACTTTTAAAGTGCAAAGTTTGGTGAAAAAATAAAACTGGCGGTTTTGGGTGCGAAAAGACGCTTTTATGATATAATTTTGTGATGACTCACATAATTAGTGATAAGAGCGCTTATAGTAACTAAATTTAATGCAGATCGGTACTTAATACTTGATTTTTGCACAAATTTTGTCAATCCGTTAAGGGTCACTGACCTACAGTACAACAAGTTTGTAGAAGTTTTGGGTAAACATTTTCTGGTTGAAAAACTGGTTTATTTGTGTGAATTATCCTGGTACGGTGACGATTGCACAACAAGGTGCTTGAAGATGCATCAGTTGCGTGTTGAAATGTTCCTGGTTATTTGGTGAGATTGTTCCATGAACTTTTGTATTTACATAAGTAGACTGATAATTTGAGCATACTTTAATATCTGTTAAAATGCTCAGCAACCCAGAAATAAACAAAGTGAACTATTCTAAGTTGTTAAAGTACTAATTTTAAACTAAATTTAAGGACTATTTGGATAATTGAACTTTTACTGAATTTAATTACTTTTGTTAAAGAAGTTTACTTTATTCAAAGAGAATTATTAGTGGAGACAGCAGTATAAGCTTATTGTGTGTGACTTTGTTTTAATTGTTAACATGGGTCGACACCGTAAGAGAAATAGGTCTACTAGTGCTTCTTTGTCAGGGTCAAGTAATTCAGATAGACAATCTAAAAGTAAACGACAAAAAAAAGAACTTAAAAGGAAGAATAAGAGAATCGAAGCATTAGAAGGGTTGATTAAAGAATTACAACAGAAAAATTATAATAATGGTGTCACCACACCAAGAGTAGAGTCAGTGGTTCGTTATGTGGGGCGGAATGATTTTATACCTGAGTTTAATCCTCAAAAATCATCTGTCTCAGTAGAACATTGGCTCCGTAACTTAGAAGGTGTTGCTAATATGCATGGCTGGGATGAACGCACTTTGATTTGCAACTGCACTTCTAAGTTGGGTGGCTATGCTAAAAGCTGGTATGAACGCCAAACTTGCTATGACATTAGCTGTGATGAGTGGAAAATAAAATTAATTACAGCATTTCCATTCACTAAGAATAAGTTGTCACAGATTAGGGAACTTGTTAACCGTATCAAGACAAAAGATGAAGACCCAATAAAATTTTACTATGATAAGCTGGGTATTGGCATGTCATGTAATATGAGTGATGATGTGATAGCTCAAGCAATTGTGGGTACACTTGGAGACAAATTGTTAGAAGTTGGAGCATTGTCGGCTGGTTGTCATGATATTAATTCTTTGTTAAAGTACCTGGCCTGTATAAAAACATCATCGGACTGCGTTGAAGTGAAATCCCCCAGGATTTTCATTTAATGCTTAAAATAATAACTTAAACAAGGTGGTCAAGTGTAACAATTGTGACAAGGTTGGTCATAAGGTGACTAAATGAAGGTTTTGATAGCTACGCAAGACAGTTGTTCATCAGAGGACGAATTACAGCAAGATGCTGTCACCCCTCTGGCATAGTGCCTACTGGCCTATTACTGCCTACGGGGCTATTTACTGCCTACGGGGCTATTACTGCCTACGGGGCTATTACCTGCCTACGGGGCTATTACTGCCTACGGGGCTATTACTGCCTACGGGGCTATTACCTGCCTACGGGGCTATTTACTGCCTACGGGGCTATTACCTGCCTACGGGGCTATTTACTGCCTCCGGGGCTATTTACTGCCTACGGGGCTAATACTGCCTACGGGGCTATTACCTGCCTACGGGGCTATTACTGCCTACGGGGCTATTATCTGCCTACGGGGCTATTACTGCCAACGGGGCTATTTACTGCCTACGAGGCTATTTCCAGATGGTGGCTGAGCCGAGTCTCCGTGGCTGCACTTGCAGCGGCGGTTTAGCGGGAGCGCTACTTCATCCTTCGAGGGCGAAGGACTACACAGGATGGCCGAACTGATATGAATAATCCTCCGATTTAGCGGGGACGACACAACACTAGTGCGACGCGATTACCGCGCGTGTCCCGACACTAGCTCAGGAACTGTCAAATACGAACGTTGGCGCGCATTCTGTCCGTTAAGCCTAATTTTGTATAATAAATTAATATTTAAGAGTTTTAACATCGTTTTTCCGGCCTAACACTAGTTACCCGCAATGCGCTAAAAAGAAACTGTTAAGCAATTATTCTGTAATCGTCGAAATACGGCTTAAAATATATTGATTTTATAATGGTTAAAACAGCAGCACGCCGCTCGAACGAAAATGCCGGTTCATATCTTGCTAATGTTGTAAAAAAATTCAATGTAAGATCGATTCTTAATATCATCATCTCAAAATAACATACAAATTATATCCTTTAACTTCTATAAATTATTCTTTATTGCCACGTAAAAAAAGTATAAAAATATGTATGTTATCGCAAAACACAGTAATAGAAATAGGTATAACAAAGGAGAGTGTGAAGTAAACAAAGATGGAATACGATATCCCAAAACATAGGCTGTGAAATAAAGTAAATACAGTGTACTCGTAATCAGAGAAGAAAAACAGAAGCCACACACGGCTGCCACTGGATACGTGCCTACCATACTAATGGACCTCAAGTCGACTTTGGGAGTAGAGGCGGGAATTGTCTTAACATTTTTGAACACCAAAATTGGGTTGACTTATACATGAGGTGATCAAAGGAAGGCTTTAAAAACAGCAACATGTACAATGGATTAGTAGAATGTTTTGCAATCAATGATTTTGTTGATTTCAAGTTTTTTTTCGTAATTCAACGCTTTAACTGATAAAACGAATTAAGACTTTATTTTACGTGAATAGATTGAAATAAAATACTTTAACGATTTAAAACGCGTTAAATATTAGTTAAACTTATAAAAAGCTCCCTGCTGCTGCAAAGTGCAAAACATTCAAAACTTCGAGCCGTAGTTAAAATAATTTTAACTAATATATAAGGCGTTTTAAACCGTTAAAATGGTTTTATTTGAATTATAATAGTATTTTCTATATTTCATTTAACATCTAATATAGAATAATAAGTTTAACAGTTCAGGCTAATTATTTTAGTCAACTTTATTAACAGCAATCGATTTGTTCTTATTTATTCTTAATTCTCGTTATGTAATAGGTACTTTCGATCAATAAAATTAACTTTAATACATACGAAATGCTAAACCAGCATCTTAATATTGTAGTTTCTTCCTCTATCTTTGTCGATGATGTTTACATAACATAGACAACTTTAACATGAAGATTTTATTATCCCCAACGAACGCCGTAAAACGGTGCGGGCGTTGAATGTTTAATAATGTGTTTTAAATAAATTCAGATCTCTTGTCTTTTATATGACATTCACACTGTAATGTTCTTCTTTTTACGATTGAAATCATATAGACACATATCAACGTGTC